CATAATACAAGCCACGTTCAACGTTGCTTGGTATCCAATCAGCTGGCCCGAACCTGCACCAGGGGCATTTAACAAGACTGGGCACATGTTTCTCACTTTCTTATATGGTCTTATATGTCTTTGTCAACACCAGGGTACCAGAAGATAGTGCGTGCCAAGCTCTTCATGACAGACCTGCCTGGATAGGTGTCATGGAGCATAAGTAAGATTAAGATTGTAATTGCCATCGAGCATAGCCCCCTGTATACTGATAATGCCTGCTCAATTGCCAGTTGCCAGCTATCACCACAAGGGTGCGTCGCTTTACTATACAAGGCAGAAAATGTAAATGAAAATAACCTCTGTCGGTGCGTTCTTGTATTCTTGGCGCTGTTTTCGGCATTTGTCGTGGTACCTGTGGGCAAGAGCTTGCCAAGGCTGTCATTTCACGACACCCCAAGCAACACCCGGGATCATGGAAAGTGACTAAAGCTTATTTTGAGGAAAGATTGCGTCCCAAATTGGACCTCCTGTATACTTAATAGTGTGCGGTAGGCACCTTTTTGTGACGTACATGAAGGAAGGCCTGTTTGGTCCTCCTTCGTGCATTCTGCTCAGGCTCCACTCAAAGTCCAGCTTGGCTCAGGCCCAGTGGCGCCACAAGGGGGGGGGGGGGGGGGGGGGGGGGTAGCGGACCGCCCCGGGTGCAGCGCTCAGGGTGGTTTCAGGTTGGGCCGCGGGGGCGGGAGTCGCGGCGGGCCTCGCGAGAGCGGGGGAGGTCGCGACGAGCTGCTGCCCCGGTTGCCGCTGACCCTCGTAACGCCACTGCTCAGGCCTCTCTGGCGTCAAATCTGCATGAGCCCATGTACCCTTCCAGGTCCTGTTTTGGTGCTGCTTGACTGGCTCTCACTGTTTACCTACGCACATCTTTCTCGCACTGCTCGAGGTATCTAGTGACGGGCGCCTGACAACAGGCACAGTGCGTCATTACGAAACGTGAGCCCCAGCAGAGCAAACACCTTCCACAGCGCTTAGGTGATTTTGTAGCGGTTGTTACCCCAGAGGACCCTGGCCGTTGCAATTCCTTTTCACCTTCTGAACTTTCAAGCAAAACCAATTGTGCAGCAAAACCAAAGCATGCACTACCTATCCGAATTTTAGCACCGCTTCTTGGTATCATTGTCGTTGTTGCAATGTTTTGTTTGTTTGTAGTTAAGATGGTGATATCACAACATCTTCCTTGTCACTCATGGTGCTTGCAGTAACTTCGCAGAACACGAAAACATTCAAACTGCACACAGCTGACACTGCAGTGGAATGACCAAAATATGCGGTTGCAATTTCTGCTTGAGTCTGCCAGCTCACCACAATGCGTAATCGGGACGTGCCATGTCACAGTTTCATAGGATGCCAACTACGATTGATGTGGGAACCATCGTACAATGCCTGTTTTTTTATGCACGTGTTTCAAATCTACTTTGCCAACTGATCCCATGAAAAAAGATTTTGTTGAAGTCTACCGGGTTGGCAGGTTACGACCCCCTGAGCATTCAGCTATTGGGTGATTTCATTGGGCTACTCGTTTCAGTGGAATGTATAATCTTGATTCTGTTAGTCCATAATCTATTTATTGGCTGGTTTCTTCGAAAGTAACTCAGTCGGTCTATCTAAGGAAGCCTCAAGAAAAAGCTTTGCTAAGGCAGCAGTAGCCTTAACAATTGTTTTTCTTGAGACCGAGATAAGGCCACCTAATTTTATTTTGAGGAAGCCAGCACACTGCAGAGGAGGTATGACCCAGATTTAGTTTGAAAGTATAGGTTTCACATGAGTTCATTCGATTTGTAGTTGAAAACGAGGTGTCACATAATTTGAAAGACAAGTGAAACAAAAACATTATTAGGTATTTTGGTTAAGAAAGCTGTGCATACTTACGCTCAGCTTTCAGTATTTTGAGCACATTTTGCTTTGTAGCTTTGAGTTTATCTATGATAGCTGTTAGTTCACTTGGCGCATGTAAAATACTTTGGTTTTGACAGACAACCGCACTTGGGCATCTATTATATGTTTGAGCTGATCCTTCATTTTTTTCAGTTGAAGTGTATCTCTCGCTTGGCTTGATCAGTATCAACTTCATGTACTGAATGCCTTTTTACAGGGTTGCGTTGCCACAGGGGACTTGTTCGCTTGTGGGTGTTTGGTGAGTGGTGTCACCAATCACCATGAGCCCCGAGCCCAGCGTGGGTTCAGACCCCCTGCATACCTGGCTGTGCTAGGTGTCCCCGTGTCTGATGAAACTGGGGTAGAGCACTGCACGGGCCGCTTTTGTCAGCCCGGGCCCGGCCCGGGCCCGGCATTATGGTAAGCTACCCGCCCGAGCCCGGCCCGAGGGTTTCCAAGCGGGGCCCAGGCCCGGCCCGGGCCCGAGCATTATCTATGTTACCCGGCCCGGCCCGCCCGCCCGTGTTATAACAGGCCCGGGCCCGGCCCAGGCCCGAAATTTAGTAAAGTGCGAATTTACTGAGCAAGGCGTTTGCATTTCAGTACCGGATGGCTCTACGAATAACCCGCGTAAATTATTAAAATCGTGACACCAGAGTGTGACATCGGCCTAACATATATGGAGATAACAAAGGCGACAGGCCTATATTGCAAAATCCCTAATATTTGCGAGCCCCTGCTTTTCAATTAAAAATTCACGAAACATAAGAACGCGCGAAAGTGTCCGTCTTCAAGAGGTCAAAATCGTGACCTTCTAGAATTCGTTCAATGAACGCGCATATGTCCCTTGTACTGCCTGATATGCGAAAATTTGAGGCTGCGTAAATAAAGGTTTTTACAGTAGATGACTTGACCGCCATCGACTCAATCAACAGACACAACCTGGACCTCGTTTTTTTTTTATTATTCACAAGAAAAATGAACGACAATAACAAAGGTGTGATGAACTATTTGTACACTGAAGTTGTTAGCGTACATGCACTACATGTTTTTGTGCAAGAACAGGAGGTTATCTAATGTGTCTGGTTATAAGCACGTTCTCTTCTCTTGGATAATGTATCCCGCGGCGCTGAAATTTCGTTCACTAGTAGCACTCGTTGCAGGAATACAGAGAATCTTCCTTGCAAGGAAAGAAAGACGTAGATATTTCTTGCATTGGGACTTCCACCATTTCAGGAGGCCATCGATGCCCTCGCACGAACCTCCGGCATGGAGGTAGCTGTCTAGTTCATCGTCGTCAATGTCCGTCTCGGCGTGGTCGTGCCAGTCTTGAAACTCATCAAGGAGTCTCCGTTTTGGTGGCTTTGTACTGGTGCATTCTTCACCGGTCTCCTGTTCAGAAGGAACCTCCGGAACACCGAGCATCATTTGTCGCACCATGCTGAAAACAGCGGTTCTCTCCGCTTCTTTCAGGGCCCGCAACTGGCGGAAGGGGGGCCATAACAGTGTGGCAACGTAGTGTATCTCTTCAAGCTGCAGCTTAGCTTCCAGGAACTGTGCCGCACGTTTCTTGAGCTGGAAAATAGTCCTTGTGTCTGCAGCCACTGGGGTCAGATGTCCTTTGAGCTTCCGCTGGTATAGCAATACCAGGGGCAGCGTTGGTTGCTTGTCTTGCTCAAGCTTCTCGCTGGCCTCCTTGAATGGCTCCAAAAAGTTGACGACGTCCTTTAGAGCTGCTTTGTTAAGATCCTCCATCAAGGTATTGCCCCTGCTGTCAAGAAGAGATTCAATGTCTTCATACTGTGTGACCAGAGACTTTATCATAGCCACCTTGGAATTCCATCTGGTGCTTACCTCTTGACACACACCATGGGGCAGCTGATTGCACAGTCCGCTTTGCTTTAGAAATGTGACAATGGCTTTTACCTTCTTCAGGCTCTTCTGCGATTCAGGCGGCTGCTCGGCGAGGTACTCATCGTCGAAAGTATGCCGGAGAACAGTATTCAATATATGGGCAGTGCAGCTCATTCTGGTGTAAGGACGAAGTGCGTTAATAATGTTCGCACCTTGGTCCGTCACAAATACTACATTTTCCAAGATGGCCTCCTGGTAGCCCAACTTCGCGCACCTACGCACAAGCTCTTTCCTTATGTTATCTCCAGTTTTCTTCTCGGGAGGAAAATCACATGTAAATAGGACCAAGCTGACTAGTTCCCACTCGTCGTTCACGTAGTGAGCAGTGGCAGTTATGTACGCCACTTTCTTGTAGTCGTCAGTCCACATGTCCACAGTGAAAGCGCAACGGCCCTCCTCTATAGCTTGCCGAACCGCTGGTTTTATCGCTTCTCGGATTTCTTCAGCGACTTCAGCTACCTTGCGAGATAGTGTCGTGGGGTGTGGAAGAACATCTTTTGCGGCTATGATTCCGTGCCGCGCCCCAATAGAAATTAGCTCATCGGCTAACTTCAAAAACCCTTCGTCACATACGACGTCAAATGGCCTCATATCCTTGGCGCACCAACGAACGCAGGCCGTCGTCACATTCTGCTTGACGCTTGCAGTTATACTAGGTTTCTTCTCGCTGAAGAAGGACGTTATAGGAGTGCATTCGGCCGGCACCTTGCATTTGTGGCGATTCAAGTGAGATGTTCCTGTTTTCCCACCATCGTAGCTGAGAAAGCCTTTGCAGTCTTTGCACTGCACGTACCCTGCCGGCGACAAAGTATTGGCGTCAACAAGTTGAAGAAATGTTTTCCAGACTTCACTCTTCTGGGCCACCCTCGGGATGAGTTTGAGTTTTCCGGAAGCAAGGTCGGTTTTTAGGCGTACAGATTCTACAGAGCTCATTTCAGCAAAGGGCAAAAAATAAACGGTAGCTAGGACGTGAAATAGCACTAATGTAGCTCTACACCATGTAGCTTCGTGGGCAAAGTATATCTCTTGTGCAACCCACCTGCAGTTTGATCCACTGAATGTGAAGTCTCATTCCGGCAAAAATGAAATGCAGTCTCGATTAAGCAAAGCGTGAACAATCCGCATACAGAACTAGGCAAGATACAAATCTGACAAAACGCGCACGGGCAATGCTGGCAACGTAGCAAAAGTCCCAAACAAAAGGAAACAAATTCTCAAAAGTAAAGCTTCTACCTAAGTAGCCATGCAGTGTCATATAATATTCACCGGTGCTTAGTGGCAGTCCGTTAACCACGACGCAAAGTTGCGGCAACTCTCGAAGGTAAGTTCTTCCGGAGAAGCAGGCGTCCAAGTGTCCCGATCGACCTTCAACGCGACGACAGCGGCAGCAAAAGCATGCTCCCGGGAATCGCACGGCAGTCAGACTGAAGACGCGACAGTCTACATTCCCTTGAAAATACAACCTCCAACACTAACTAACCGGAGCGCGACGCGGTTTTCTATACCGAGCGCAGCGGCGTCTGTCTGTACTTTCCGCCTGCAAAGCGGTAAAGAACAACAAAATAGACACCTCCCGCACGGGCGAAGCCGCGGCCGCTCATCGATGCTTCTCTCCTCCCCCGCCACTGTCTGCTCAGGGCGCCAGACGCCAAGGCGCCAAAGGCCAGGGCATGGCTACAGTAGCTCAGGAGTCAGGAGCTCTCTCGTTGTGCTCGTTACTTCCCGATCTTTATGTTCTAGTAGGTTCTATCCTAGTTAAAAGGGTTGGCTCTCGCCTCGTTGCTCGCTCGGGATAAACGCGCGTCAATCGTGGCTTCGCGGGTGCGTTCGTTTCCGCGCCGCTTTTTGATACATCTTGTATTTTCCGAGCGAGTCATGTGGCCGCTCACAGTTACGTGCAGATAAAGGGATAAAAAAATTTAAGACGCTCTGCCAACTGTACGCTAAGCGGGATGAAACTTTGAACGGCTGCGTGCTCGCCTTACCGCCTGCCCATGTTCCTGGGATCGCCCAGCGCGGAATTCAACGGACGCCGTCGGCATCACTGACACGTACAGCGGGCCCGAGCCCGAACTAGGCCCGAGCAGGTGCTGACCCGAGCCCGGCCCGGGCCCGCCGTCAAAAGCCCGGGCCCGGCCCGAGCCCGCCAGAAAACCGCCTTACCCGGCCCGGCCCGTCCCGCGGGCCGGGTCGGGCCCGGGCTTTCGGGTAGGCCCGAGCCCGTGCAGTGTTCTAAACTGGGGTCTTGGCAGTTGAGCCAAGCCCGGGCTAGGTTTCCTTCAAAGGCCCCCAGGTTAGGCAATGCACCACCCCAGCCCGCGCTCCGCACAAACAGGTGTCCTGCGTTGGCTCGCTCAGGACGATTCGGTCGGTCGCTTTGCTTTACCTCTCCTTTCTTCTGACGTTCTTCTACATCCCTGTTTTCAACCTGTCATCTTTCTGATGTAACAGAATTCTTCGAAAGCGAAGAGGAATTATATAGCCCATAGGTGTTGAAAACCACCAAGGTGTGACATGACGGCACCAAATACTTTACTATAAAAATATCTCATCCCATGACGATCCAATGGCCTTGGCACTAAGAGGCTTCGTTTGGTTGGAACGACTGGATGTGCAGCAGCCTGAGGGTCTTTAATTTTGAATAGACCAGACATGTACAAATTACTCAAAAAAGGTAGTTAAGTTAAGTTACTGAGTATCGACGCCAAAAGTAATTGGAGTAGAGTAGAAATTACGCATTTGTAATAGTAATTGAGTAAACTACTAACTACTGTAAAAAGTAGCAAGTAACTTTGAGGTTACTTTCGAAGTTACTTTTTTATATTTTTGTGGTAGCAAAATGAACAGCAGTTTTGATCTATGAAAAACCCTGCGAGCCTAAAATAAATGCAGTCTATTTATGACTTGCGTTTTTGCTAAAATAGTTTATTCGCTCGCAGAAGTAATTGACTTTCAAATTTCTTGATAGGAGAGTTTTCCCCTTTTCCTTCTAAAGACGTCCCCAGATAAGCTAATTAGACGTTCCACCGACGGGCTGGATGGAACGGCAGCGTTTAATTTGAGAAACAGGCTGTGCAGGGTCGGGTAAGCGAGTGTCGTCATCTTAGGTGTCCATGACTAAACACAGGAAGTTTGCCTCGGGTAGAGGGTCTTTTATAACAAACTTTCCTCCTTTTTTCTTTTTTCTTCGTCAAGTTGAGATTGTTATGACTGGCCCCTCTTTATTCCAACGTCGTTCTGAGAGTACGCTGAGCGAGTGCACCAGACCGTCAAGGGTTCAAGTCTCGCGCCACGACTATGAGATCATCCGGACGACTGCGCGTCTCGTTGTAGTGCTAGTGCTACGCTACTGAAAAAAAAAATTGTTTTGATTTAACAGAAGATGAAAAGCAGTATACTTCGCCGCTGACGCCGGGTCCAACAAAATGATCTCCCAAGGGCGACTCGCAATCCTCGCCGGCGACTACAATATTCTGATGCGCCTGACACGACTGACAAGTAAATCGTTTTTAACAAAGACGAGGTCTCCCAGGCATGGCTGGTCGGAAGGACGCGGAAGATTACGTGAACAAGCATCGTCGCTCGTATACAGTTGCAGCTAGGGTGCCTACATGTTTCCGCTCCGCTTTAGGGTGGCGCCAACTTCTTGTTACCCTTTCCCAGATCCTCTCCCACCGCCATTTTGACCCACTTCTTATATGGCTAAACGTACACAACGTTGAGTTTTCGTAGTTTCGACACACCGGTAACACTGTGAGGCCACTTCTGTTTCCGTTCATAAGAGGAGTCGGACGAGTCGGAGGCTCAGCGGGATGGCGGTCGTCGTGGCTGTCGCTCTCCTTATTCGGGTGTTTTATACCTTGAAGTTGCGAGCAGGAAGTATGCGTTGCGTTTATCGAAACGCGATTCCCCTCGACGAAATGGAACGCAACAGACCGGCGTCGCACGCCGAAACCTCGCCGTCGGAACGAGAGCGGTTGGCGCTCCCTAGCCCTAACGAGGATTAGCGGAGTAGCGCGAGCGCACGACTGGCGAGTGTGACAAAATGGTCGACGAAACAGCGGAGGCTGCCATGGTAACGAGGTAGGCAACACTGGTTTGTCGGCAACAGGTATCACAAACGTTGTCGCCACCCTAAACAGCGGAGCGGCGGAAACATGTAGGCACCCTAGTTGCAGCTGGAAGCGGGAACGTGCTCCCATGAACGGATTATCCGTGCCAGGGTTTGTGCGCGGGGGAGTCCGGCTTTGCAAAGGCGTATGCGCTGACGACTAGGCGACCATAGGAACAGGCGCCCAGCTGCGAGGTCAATCCAGTGGCGCCTCCCGTGGAACCTACCGCTTGAGTCAGAATTCACTAAAAACAGACAACATGAAAGCAACAACTCTCGGAGTGTCCCCGTCTTTCACGGTTGCAGCTGGAAACGCGGCGCCTGCGTGCATTACCGGATTAGGTCAATACCCGACCAAGGCTTGTTAAGCATCTCTTCCTGCGTTCGTGCGTGCCGGTGTTATATTTTGGCTGCTCGTCGCCACCTTGGCCTAAGGACGCCTTCCCGAACAAGGGGGCCCCTTGTTCGGGAATGCCACTTTATCTGCCGGCGTCTTATTCATTTCTGCGCACAAACTTTCGTGATTGGCAAAATTAGCACTATATAATTTCGAAATTAGTTACTAATTTAAGTAGAAGTTACCTGAAAAAAGTAGTTAAATTAAACTACTAATTACCCAAATCAAGTTGTAATTGAAAGTTACCAAGTTACTCGAAAAAGTAGTTAAACTACAGTAGTTTGAGTAGAGTAGTTGACCTACGTCCAAGTCTAGAATAGACCAATCTCGCCAGCCAGTTTCGTCAAGCCGCCGCTGCCACAATGTAACAAAGGAACTTTAGTCTTTCTGCATGTGGGAGAACGCCGCTGGAGCTTTGCACGTGACGAGACGACACGAGCCGTCTCATGCACTGCCTCCTGCCTCCTGTGAACTAAAGTTATGGCGGCATCACGCATGCGTGGAACGCTTAGTGAGATCTGTCTATTGGGACGATTAATGGCAACAATACATGACTGTTGCCATCTATGGTTACAGACATCTGGAGCACTAGTCGAGACAACTGTCTCGCAAACCCGGTATCTCGGTGTGCCCACGGCAGCCCACTCCCTTGGTGCGGCATGACTGCTTTACAGCGTGGACGGTGCGATCCCCATGCATTCTCTTGGATCCGTGGTGTCTACACCGCTAGGAAAGCAACATTTGGCACTGTGGGTGCGCTGGCGTAAATGAATGAAGACAAATTTATTTTTCCTGGTAAAGTATTTGGTGACACTGTCAACTGGCATGCTTGCAGCCAGGCTAGCAATGGCCGTGGTAAGGTGACTAGCATCCCAAATGTCCCAAGATGTCTCTGTCATATTTCAATGACTGCGGTGGATATGCTCGTAAGAATGGGACGTTTACAACAAAAATATAGCAATTCATCCAAGACAGATATTAAACATATTTTTAATGAATCTGTATATGCTTGTAGTTTAATTTAATTATCACTGCAAGGTCAGATGGGTAATTGACAACAAAATTTGATTGGTTTATTTTTTTCTGGTTTTGTAATTTACGGTTCCAGGTGCATCAGGAAAAGACATAGGCACAATTGCATGTTATCCCTCCAAAAGTTGGGGTCTATACAGCGTGAACTAATTGTATCTTTGGATGGTGATCATACCAGCAATAGCACGTTGCTATTTCAGCGGTGCTGCTCGTAAACTCAAGAGACGGGAATGGCAGCTATTGCGACTTCAAGATGTAACGAGATTTCAGCTGCTGGCCAGGCGGTGGAATGAATCCTCAATCTTTTTGGCTTGCTTGTTGGTTTAGATCGAGAAACTTCCAAAATTGTGTTTGCCTTGCAATGTCAAAATGTTCAAAAAGATTTTTCGTCTGAAGCCAGCCTAAAACATCTCTGTTTGCTACGATGTTACAGGTTTGTCACCCTCTTTTTTTCGTTTTTTTTATAGTGATTTCGGATTGCTGTGGGCAACACCGGAGCTCACCGTCGAGCACGGCACCTCTTGTGGCAAGCACCAGCAAAAAGATGCGAAACAAGGTTAGCAGACAAGGCCCATCATGTAATCGATGCCACCAGCCCGACAACCCACAAGACCACGTATTGTATGTAATAAATCAGTTC